ATTTCTTCTTGTTCAGAACCAAAATGAACACTCATGGCACCAGCAGTTAGGAAATTAAAAGATTTTGCATTGGGAAAAATCTGCTGTCAAAGATCTCTACAGAGTGCTAAAGAGCAATGGTGTCAGTCTAGAGAGTAAGGTGTGCCTGATCAAGGCCATTGTTGCTATTGTTGGTTACCTTCGAGTTGAGCATGACTTATAGTGACCCTATAAACAAAAGGCCTGAAGCCCCTCTACAACTATTGACATTTATCAAAGTTCATAGTTTTCAGAGGCCTGGGGTTTTTTGTTTGTTTTTTTAAAGGCTTTTTTATTAATTTTAATGAAAATTTACAGAGACTTTGGATTTCCATTCATTCATTGTTGCCGGAGGCCTGTTGTTTAGGAAGTGGATGCCACTCCTGCTTCCAAGATCTAGGCTATAGTCTTCTCAATTGCTTGCTATGCATCTAAGAGTTGAACAATAAAGATAACAGAAGAAGAATTAATGCCTCTGAGTTGTAGTGCTGGAGAAGAGTATTGAACATACCATGGACTTTCACTAGAACAAACAGGTCTGTCCTGGAGAGGGTAAACCAGGTTGCTCCTTGGAGGCAAAGATTTTGAAGCTCCATCGGACATACTTGGCCAAGCTGTTAGGAGGGACCAGCCCTTGGAGAAGGACATTACACATTGGAAGACTAGAGGGTCATCACAGGGGAGGAAGACACTGGATGAGATGGGGTGACACAGTGACTGTGGCCATGGAGGTGGTGTGTCTGACACGGTGATGTTGGCTCAGGATGGGGCAGGGGTCAGTCATTGTTTGTGAGGTCACTATGAGTCACAGGCAAGCAGACAGCACATAATAACATGTCAGAGCTGTTCTGTGGTCCCTGCTTCCCTCATAAAGAAATTCCACTGTGACCGGCAGGTCCTTACATGTCTTCTTTCTGAACTTCCTCCACCCTGTCTCCCTCAGCTCCACCCACACCAGCCTCCTCCTGGTTCCTCAACCCTCCTGGGAGGCTCCTGCCTTAGAGCCTTCCCTCTCTGTTCCACTTCTTCCTCCAGACATTCCTGGCCCCTGACTGACTCACCACAGTTAAGTCAGAACCCACTCCAGTGGCCTGACCCTCAGCAGGTCTTCAGAGGCAGAAAATTGCATGGAGACTGACCATCTTTCTCCCGTAGAGCAGATGGGGGATTCAAACAGCGTGCCTTTGGGTTGGCAGTGCAAGTCCTCAGCAACCTGGGAGATCCTGTGGGGCACCTCTAGGCAGTCTTTCAGGGCAGCACTATACATGGGAATGACTCAACAGTACACACAACCCTTATCTCATGCGGGTCTCTATGTCTGTCACTTCCTCAGAGAAACCTCTCCTTTCCAGGCATGAGGGTCTTAGCGTTCGGTAGGGCAGGTTGTTGACTGCACAAGGCATCTGTTAAATGAGCAACTGGGATCCAACTCAGGCTCTGCTCCCCAAACTCTGTACCCAGGAGAAAGGGGTGCACATGGGTGTCCTGAGGCGTGGCAGCTGTCCTAAGGCGTGGCAGCTATCCTCCACCACCCCCTCACCCTGCCTGACATTATTCATGGGACATGTCAATATGGGCACAAAATTGTTTCGTAGTTCACGATCTGCCACATACACTACTTCTCCCCACCCTTTATCAAGGTAGCTCCATAGGGCAGGGCTCTGGGGTTGCTTTGCTCACTGTTCTACCCTCTGTGCCTCTGTGGAGCCCAGGGCACAAAAGGGGCTGCTGAGGACTGACATGCGGACCCCCAAATTGTGTGTCTACTTGGCTGAGTCATAATCCCCCGTATGATGTATTTATTCTCAATTTTGTGATCTGTTGGAGAATGTTGGGGAGGAAGGGAGAACCTTTGGCTAGGATGGGTCGCCTAAGCTCCGGATAAGTGCAAGCCTCCCAACAGCTTTTAATACGGGGTAGAGAAAGCTCCCTTGTGTTTGGTTGTACTGGCTTGAGAAAGCTTGCCACCTGGGAAGACAGCTGCTACATCTGTTGAGCTGAGAGTGGTCTGCACGAGGCTGAGGTTCTCCTAACCAATCTGCAGGTCCTATGTCTGTAAGCCCACCCTATCTGGTCTTCCTGTTTACATGCTTGTATATAAATAAGTGCACTGTTGTTCCCAATAAAATTGAGCTGGATTGACTCTCTGATCCTCTCCTGGAGTGGTGTGTCTCCATCGTGCTTACTTCCATCAGGGTTTCGCTGTTAAGTTGTCGGCAAACAGACAGCGACAGTGATCTGATGTAAAGATCATGTGCGTTGTAAATCTTCACCTCTATAAGCATTCCTAAACAACATGCCTCTGTAAACTCTATGAAGTTTGATAAATGATGATAGTTACAGAAAGGCTTCAGGCCTTTTGTTCATAGGGTCGCTATGAGTTGGCAATCAAAAACAACCTCTGAGTCCAGGTACTTATGTTTAACGACAAAAGCAATCTATAGGATTATGTTGTATCTTGAGTTCACTGGTTTGGAGACAGAAAAGGGACTTTTCGTTTCTTAAAAATGCCAGAGGGCTTTTCAAAGGTAAGGATGGCGAGGTTTTGTCTCACATACTTGGTGCCTCTCGCTAAGAGAGGAGGACCCTCAAATGGCTGGACTGACACAGTGACTGCAGCAGCATTGGGCTTGAGTGTGTCAGAGACAGTGAGGTTGGCACAGGATAGGACAGAGTTCTGATCTGCTGTTGTTCATAGGGTTGTTATGAGCTGTACTAGACTCAGCAGCACCTAAAAACGGAAGTGTTAAGAGCAATGGCATCAGATGAAGAGATTAAGGTGTTAAGAGATCTAAGTCATGCTTTTATCAGCTACTTGCCATGCATGTGAAAACTGGACAGTGACTAAGGATGACAGAATAACTGATGGTCTTAGAGAAAAATACTGACTCTTCCATGGACTGCTAAAACAAAGATGTCTGTCATGGCAGAAGTGATGCTCCTTAGAGGCAAGGATGTCTCACATCCGTTGGGCATGTTGTCAGGAAGGACATAATGAATTTGGAGAGAGACATACTGGGGAAGGTGGAAGGTCAGAGAGAGGGAGGAACGAGAAGGCTTCACTAACGTGGATCAGCACAGCGCACAGTGCCTGTTACCAGTGGGCTCGAGCATATCAGAGATGGTGAAGACGACACAGGACAGAGCATCGTTCAGATCAAAGTTGTTCAGAGTTGCTACGGGCCAGTCAATTCGGTGTCTCCTAACAGGAACAACTGGGGTCCCTGTGCCTGCGACCATGAAGGCATCTGGTCATCACCAAGCTGTGCTAGGGCCCCAGGTGTTGAAAACAGGCAGGAATCTTTGCCCAGAGACCAGACCAGACAGTGTTCCTCTCAAGGTTTCTCTAGGTCTTTCTCTCCTGACTGTGAGGGAACACATTGACGCTTGCCAGGCAGCTATAGAAAACTCAGACTGTCTTAACTCTCACTGCCTACTTTTTTTGGAAACCCTCTTTTGAAAATGGGATCAACTTGAGTCAATGTCACAATATGACATATAAAGGTTGTTGAAAGATTGTATGCAAACAGGTGATTTTTTTGGTGGAGGAGGGGTGGGTCATTCTACAGGACCAGGTCCCACGCTCTCGCTGCACTTCCTCTTCCAACCTGCAGGGGGCGCTGGAGATAGTGTGAGCCCAGCTCCGAGCGCCCTCTGGTGGTTCTATGACGCCAATGGCTGAAGATCAATACCTGGACGTGTGGGAGGGGGCTCAGTGGGAAGCACCACCGCGTGTCCCTGTCCCCAGCACACACACAAGCCTGTTTTCCAAGTGGAGGGGCACAGTGTGGAAGAAAGTGATGCCGCCTCATCTGGGGTTAACAGCTGTCTAGAGGAGATTCTCAGATCCTAGGAAAGGCTCTACACTGCCTATATAACCCCATCGTCTACTCCCAGCCTCCTCGGAACTGAGACATTTCTGTTGTATTAAGTCTCCACGTGGTGGTTTTAACAGTTTCAGGAAAGAAATCCAAGTGCTTAACACAAATATATAGACGAAACCCTTGTAGCCCCACTCCCCCTTCCAGTATACCCACCCCCCACTCCTGGGCTCCAACCCACACCCCCACCCAAAAAAAAAAGATGCAAAAACAATAGGTCAGAGAGGCCGTCAGTACAGCTTTAAAAAAAAGGATTGGTTTTTAATTTACAAGAGTTCTAAATGTACAGAATTCTCCTTTAAAAAAATCGTTATACACAATAAATACAGTACAAAAAAATTTATGTTACAGTACTAGTTTTGTCTCCGAGATTTCAAAATCTGGCGGGGGGCTGGGGTCGGGCAGTTGGAGGCAGGAAGAACAGAGGGAAGACTGATGGGCGAGGGGAAGCGGTGGGGGGAACCCCGGCTCCTGGTTTCGGAGGTGCTCGGCTATGAGCTGAAGATCTGGGGGCTCGCAATCTCTCTCTCTCTGGTGCACACACAGGGAGACACAGGATGTGGCGCTGGGCACGCACGTGCACACGCACAGCTGTGACAGAGCGCGGTGGCCCAGCTTCCCCGGGGAATGGGGTCCTCAACTCACGAAGCGGGGACCCCCTGCACTTCCTCTCGCAGCCCGCAGGGGGCGTCTGAGATATGGCGAGCCCAGCTCCATGCGAGCACCACGTGCACGAAGACGATACCTGCGCACAGGTGAGCAGTGGAAGCCCTGTCCCAAGTAAACACGTAAGTGCGTCCTCCAGGTGGAGGGACAGAGTGTGACAGGAAATGGGAAGGAACGAGAAGTGACAGACTAGGTTCATCCCCTCCTTTTGCAGGGGGGGAGGGCACATTTCATATGACAGCCCCCCCTTGAATCCGCCACGGTTCCCTGCCACCACCCCGGCGCGGGCGGGAGGTGGGGAGAGACCTTTGTGACTTAATAACTTAGGCAAGACAAACTGTCAGGGATCCCCGGCTTGTGTCCCCCAGGGGGCTGAGGCGGCCCCGGGCAGCGTCCGCGGTGGGCGAGGGGTCAGGGACGGTGGCCCGCCCGCTGTTATCTGTTTAACGTCCTGGTGCCGAGGCCGCCGTTGTGACTGGAGGGGGGGTAGGCGTCGGGCCTGTGCAGGGGCGCGGGCGCGCCCGGCGGGCCAGGGTGGGGGTACAGGGGTGCGGGCGTCCGGCCGGGGGCCTGCTGCAGGTTCAGGATGCTGTCGATGGCGCTCTGCAGGTGCTCCGTCAGCGAGGCGTCCTGCGGGCTGTCGCTGGAGAAGCTGGCCTGGTCCACGTCGGGAGACTCGGATTTGGGGCGCTTGGGGGTGGGCAGCGCGGGGGCCTCCCAGCCGGGGTCTCCGCTGCCGCCGCCCTGGCCGGGCCCCGCAGACGGGTCCGGGGAGGACCGCTTGAGCATGCGCTGGTACAGCTCGTCCTCCACGGCGGCCAGCTCGCGGATGAGCCCGCTCGTGGCCTCGTCCACCTTGGTGGGCGGCGCGGGGC